GGTGAATCCCCAGGCGGCAGCAGCCAAGGGGCACAAAAAAAAAAAAAAAAACAAAAAAAAACCAGCGTGTAGATTGCATTTGCATAGAACAACCCCGAATGAAACCCAAGGAGCAAACAGTGGTGACCACAGGGCCGGGCGGGGGGACGAGAACCTCGGCGCCAACCTTTCTGCGGCTCTTATTGCAGGACGGACCCGTCGCACTGTGTGGACTCCAGCCACAGTCCGCCCGTTCCGGTTCCACTCGGAAGCCACCCACGGGCCACACTCGCCATGAACGGGGGGACGGAGGGACCCAGAGGTGCCACCAGCAGTGGGCCGGCGGGTGCTGACGTCTCCCCCCGCCCCCAGGCGGCGCTGGAGGCCCAGCTAGGCCTCTTAGAACCGAGGAGCAACGGGCTGGTTTTTGCAAGGTCAGACCGTCCCAGCACCTGGGAGGCCCGAGGGCGGGAGGACGCTCAAAGTCAGAGTTTCCAGACCAGCCTGAAGAACTAGCGAGACCCCCCATCCTACTATAAATAGAAAGAAAATAATAACACTAAAATTATTATAGAAAACATTAGCCAGCATGCGTGCGCATGCGTCAGTCCAGCTACTCGGGAGGCTGGAGCGCAAGGAGGGATCGCTTGAGCCCAGGGAGCTTTTTCGAGCTTGCTGTGAGCGAGCTTGACGCCACGCACTCTAGCCCGGCAAAGACGCAGACGTCGTCTCAAAAAAGAATAATTGGCTAACTAAATAGATGCGAACAAATTTAGGCCGGGCTTGGTGGTGCCACGCTGTAAGTCCAGTAACTCGGAGGCCTGAGGCAGAGAGGATCGCTTGAGGGCCCAGGGAGTTTTGAGTTGCTGTGACCGAGGCTGACGCCACGCACTCACTCTAGCCTGGAGCGAACAGAGCGAGACTCTGTCTCAAAAAAAAAAAAAAAAAGAAAAGGGGGAACCGGGGAGAGGCGGAGGCTGCTGGTGGCGGGGGTCAGGCAGCTGCGGGGCGGGGACCGTGAACCCTGGAGGGGGTCGGAGGACGCTGGGGACCCTGTAGTCTGGTGGTCTGGGTCTCAGGAGCGTCCCATGACCCGGGGATCCTTGGATCTGGGGACCCAGGGGACGAGGGCTCCTGGGCTCTGGGAGGGTCTGAGGGGCTCTAGCGCCAGCAGTGGGGACCAGAGACGGGTGTGAGTCTCGGGCGGGGGCCGGCCGGGCGGGGCCGGGGGGCGGCGCTGGAAGGAGGACAGGTGTGACACCCGCGGCTCCCCGCGCACGGAGTCAGCAAAGACGGCTCAGACCCGACAGGACACTCGGAGGCTGTGTGGCCCAGGGCCAGCGCCTTAGCCTCTCTGGGCCTTGGTCTCCTCCTCTAGGGAAACAAGCTCAGGAGGAACCCCGCGGCGAGGCGCTGCAAATAGAGGCCAGAACCGCAGACACCCGCGGGAACACGAGTGTCCCCGGGGAGGCACGGGTCAGCGCCGGCCCAGCCGCGCACAGAAATGGAATCCAGGAAGTCAAGCAATGACGCAGAAGTAGGATTTTTTTTTTTTTGAGACAGAGTCTCACTCTGTCGCCCGGGCTAGGTGATGCCGTGGCGTCAGCCTCGCTCCAGCAACTCCAGACTCCTGGGCTCCAGCGATCCTCCTGCCTCAGCCTCCCGAGTAGCTGGGACTACAGGCCTGCGCCACCACGCCCGGCTAACTTTGCTATTTATAGTAGAGACTGGGGTCTCGCTCTTGCTCGGGCTGGTCTCGAACTCCGGAGACAGTCGTGCTCTGTGGCCCCAGGTGGGCGCTGTGGCGTCATCATGACTCACTGCAACCTCAAACCCCTGAGCTGAAGCGATCCTCGCGCCTCGGCCTCCCAGAGTGCTAGGACTATGGGTGTGAGCCCCCACGCCCGGCCAAAGCGTGAATTTTAATGACCCGGGAAAACCTCGTTTAAGGTCACCTGGTGCCGGACCCAGCGGGGCACACCTGTAGTCCCAGCTGCTTGGGAAGCTGAGGCAGGAGGACTGCGTTATAGGGTCAGGAGTTCAAGGCCAGCCTGGGCAACACAGCAAGACCATCTCTAGGGAAAAAAAAAAGAGAAGAGAGAGACAGACAGAGGAGAGAAGGTCACATGGCTTTGTGGGTTATGGTAAAATTTCAGAAGCCACCGAATGGCCCTTGGGAGAGGGGCGGGCAGGAGGACGCCTCCTCCCTCGCCCTGGGCAGCTCCTGAAGCCACTGCCAGGCCCCCCCCCCCCCGGGCCAGGCGTACCTTTGGGGGAGCCAGGGGGCTTTAAAAAAATTTAAAAAGAAGGCCGGGCGCGGCAGCTCACACCTGTCATCCCAGCACTCCGGGAGGCCAAGGCGGGAGGATCGTTCAAGGTCTAGAAACCAGCCTGAGCAAGAGAGAGACCCCATCTCTACTAAAAATAGAAAGAAACTAATTGGCCAACTAATATATATAGAAAAAGTTAGCCGGGCATGGTGGCGCATGCCTGTAGTCCCAGCTACTCCTCGGGAGGCTGAGGCAGGAGGATCGCCTGAGCCCAGGAGTCGGAGGTTGCTGTGAGTGAGGCTGACGCCACGGCACTCACTCTAGCCTGGGCGACAGAGTGAGACTCTGTCTCAAAAGAAAAAATACGACAGTGGTAGTGACACAAAGAGATAGTCTACAGCAGTCACGAACCTTAGACATTTTAAGTCATCATAACAGCAGCAGCCGAGACCTGGCTCCTTAAATGATATTAAGCCACATAGTCGCCACAATAGCTCCTTGAGGAAGGTGCTGTCGTTACCCCCGTTACGGACGAGGAAACTGAGGCGCGGTGTGTTTGAGTGGCTTGCCCAAGGCTCTGCGGCAGCGCCTGGGGGCTGCCGGGACCGCGCGGCCACCCGCCAGCCTCCACTGTCCTCAGGGACAAGAGTTGTGGACCCGCACCTGCCTGGAAGGGCTGCGTGGTTTCTCAGCACACGATGAAGCGGCACGTTGCCCATGGACTCGCTTTCTTTTTTTTTTTTTTATCTGTTTTTTATTTTTTTTTTTTTTTTTTATCTGTTTTTTAATTTTTTATTTATATTAAAGGCTTTACATTCATTCTTTTTTTCCCCCCAAGTATACCATATGCCTTTCAACCCAAGGGCTCGATTTCGTGGTGGGGGAATGGGCCTTTAGTTGGAGGCCAAAGGGAGTATTTAGCTTTATATTTGCTAGGTTTTATTTATTTTATTATTATCATTTCTGAGACAGGGTCTCACTGTTGTCACCCAGGCTGGAGTGCTCATAGCTCACTGCAGCCTTGAACTCCTGGGCTCAAGCGATCCTCCTGCCTCAGCCTCCCGAGTAGCTGGAACTGCAGGCATGCGCCACCATGCCCGGCTCATTTCTTCTATATATTTTTAGTTATCCAGCTAACTTCTTTCTTTGTTTTTAGTAGAGACAGGGTCTGGCTCTTGCCCAGGCTGGTCTCGAACTCCTGGCCTCAATCCATCCTCCCGCCTCGGCCTCCCAGAGTGCTGGGATTACAGGCGTGAGCCACCGCGCCCAGTCTAGGTTTTACTTTTTAATTCTGTTAAAACGGTTCATTCCACAAATATTTTCTGAGCACCTAGTGGATGCGGCGAAACTCCCACCCTTGGGGAGGTGGCGCTCCAGAAGCAAGACGCAAGGTGCCAGAAATCAGCGGACTCTAACGGAGGTCAGAATATCGTGCCATGGAGAACACTCAAGTCAGGGGCGTCAGCAGAGTAGGCTGGGGTGGTTCCCAGTTTCGGAAAGGGCCAGTCTGGGAAGGCCTCTGAGATCCTTTTCCATGTTGAACTCGTCCATGCACATTTTTTTTCCTTTTCTGTCTGTATATATATATATATATATATATTTTTCTTTTGAGACAGAGTCTCGCTCTGTTGCCCAGGCTAGAGTGAGTGCCGTGGCGTCAACCTCGCTCACAGCAACCTCAGACTCCTGGGCTCAAGCGATCCTCCTGCCGCAGCCTCCCAAGTGGCTGAGACTACAGGCATGTGTCACGATGCCCGGCCGATTTTTTCTATATATATTAGTTGGCCAGTAATTTCTTTCTATTTTTAGTAGAGACGTGGTCTTGCTCTTGCTCAGGCTGGTCTCGAACTCCTGACCTCGAGCGATCCTCCCGCCTTAGCCTCCCAGAGTGCTGGGATTACAGGCGTGAGCCACCTCGCCCGGCCTGTATATATTTTTTTTCTAGAGGCCTTCCCAGACTGGCCCTTTCCGAAACTGGGAACCACCCCAGCCTACTCTGCTGACGCCCCTGACTTGAGTGTTCTCCATGGCACGATATTCTGACCTCCGTTAGAGTCCGCTGATTTCTGGCACCTTGCGTCTTGCTTCTGGAGCGCCACCTCCCCAAGGGTGGGAGTTTCGCCGCATCC